ATATGTATATTCAGAGTACCTGAAGTCAGGTGGGGGTAAAAGGTGGGATGCATGCAGACAGGGAAGAGGATCCAATTATAATCCAAACATATTGTATAGCAATCACAGACATTCAATCAAAAGCTTAAAAAAAATAAACCCCACTCTTTGAGGTACACTCTTCCATGAAATTAAAATGAATGTGAATAGTTTCCAAGCCTCGTTGATGCTGGTGGTATTGTAAAATGATAAGATTATCAGGAAAAATATTTAATGTTCTTCAAATTAGAAAGTGTAAAATTACCATATATGTAACATCACCTTCAATTTTGGGTACACACAAATAATTATTAAAGACTTAAAAACACATGGAAATTGTAAATAAATAATCAGAGCAACATTACTTACAAGTGTGGGGAAATGAAGTCCTGAGACAGGCCACTTCCTGAAAAAAACCTGACGCATGCCAAACAAGGTACATTTTAATACATGATTCGTTACAGGATATATTTACACATTACAGGTGACAAGAGAAAACACTATTTCATAGTTATATTAACTCAGGATATCTAATCATAAAATGAATATCTTAAATTCTACATATTAAGTCTTAGCAACAACATTATATCAATAACTTGGATGATGCCAAATAAGAAATTTTTGACATTTATCATAAATGTTAATGAATACTTATATGATGATTCTGCAGTTCAAGGAGGTATTGTTAAGACAGTAATATGGACTCTTATTAAAAAATATAAAAGTGTTAAACACATAGTTCATTGTGGGACTTCAAAATAAAAAGATAAATTGTACTGAAAATTTGCTCTTCAGAAAGTTACATTCTACAAGGTAAACAGAACAAAGAGATAAACATGGTTATTTGGTAAGCTCCTAATGGAACACACCTAGTACAGTGCTATTCATTGATTGGTGATGATGGGGGTGTCTTTTAGAGAATCATAAAATGAAATCTTTTCAGGAAATCATAAAACACTATTTTTTTCTACTTTATGGCCCAAGTGTCATATGACATGGGTATTGCAGAGAAATACAATGAATAGGCTCAAAATTTTTACTCATAATCTTCCTTCAAGCTTTACTCTACCACCTTATCTTGTTTTATTGTATTATAATAAGTATATTTTATGGTAATTTAAATATATCTTATATTTACATTCAGCAAGTACATAGTTAACAAAGTACTGTTATGTGCCATATACTACATTTTCTTCCTCACTGAACTGCATTTGTAATCATTAACAGAGTACTTTGCATATGTGAATGAAAAGTCTATTCAAATTATACCAAAAGCTTCAAAGAGCCAGTAAAGCCATCACACAGTTTGAGTTAAAATTGGTAAATACAGAAAGGACTGAAGAGAACATGGTGATGCTGAGGTAAGCTGTGATAATTAAGGAGTAAGAATCATAGAATTAAAATAGATCTAGAGAGAGTCACACTCATTCCTATTAACAACAGTGTGTAAAACAGAAGAGTCTAACATTTTAAGAGAAAAGGGCTTGGAATAAGATACACCTTTCCTTCTGCCCAGAGAGTTCAGTGTTTGTTGTTTATTTCCTTCTCCATTATTCTGGAGAAATGACCTGGAGGATATGAACAGGGATACCTAAAAATTGTCCTTTGAGTCATTTATCTTTATCTCTAACAAAGCTGGTATCCAAAGACTTTTATTGCTCTACAAAGGTTGGTTGTATGAACGTTTTATATAGTGAGTAGATAATAAGAATCTGGTTAGGAAAAAAATAAATTAATAAAGAAGGATAATGATCTCCCCCTAGAATCTCATCCCTCAAGTTTCTGCTCTGGGGAAATTAACAACCAGAATTTCCCTTCCCCCATTGTTCTCAAATCTGAAATGGAATCAGATGGTAGAATTCCTGATTCTTGTTAAATTATGAATTTAATATAAGTATGTGAGAGACATACACTAAAGCACTAAATTTTTCCTAAGACTTTAGACATCACATCGGAAACTGTCTAAAATAATTTCCTATAATGGGAAAATGGAAAGGCATGGAAAGCAACTGAGATGTGTAAGGTTTGAACTTTTAAATTTTCAGTGCTATCTATCAAGTCTGCTTAGATAGTGTGAGATATACTTGAAATTATTTTAGTAGGGAAACTTTACGTGAAGGTGGAATTAAAGCAGATTCCTTTTACCTCCCAAGTTCCTATTATTTAGCTGTTAAGAAAGATATACAAGAAGATCCTTACAAAACTAACATGGAAACTTTAAAAAAAGTGTGAAGAGAAATGGAAGGTCTAAAAAGTGTTCCAACACTAATCTATTTTACATGTTTTAGTCACTTTTCTGTTGCTGTGATAGAAACACTGACCAAAGCAATTTATAGAAGGAAGAGTTTATTTGAGCTTACTGTTCCAGGGGAATTACAGTCCGTCATGGCAGTGAGGCATGGTGGCTGGAGGTGGCTGGAGGTGGCTGGAGCAGGAGCAGCAGAAGCTAAGCTTTCACATCATCATGCAGGCACAGGAAGCAAGAGAGCAACTGGAGATCTTTCAAGGCTTAAGAACTCTCTAAGCCCACCCACAGTGACGTGCTTCCTCCAGGATAGCCACACCTTCTAAAACCTCCCAAAACAGCACCATCATCTTGGGACAAAGTGTCCAAACACTTGGAGCTGATGGGGGACATCTTCATTCAAACCATCACACATGACATTTATTAAATAATATGTCATTTTAGAGGCCATCATTATACTTCTAAAATTAAATTTATTGCAGATAACTTGAGCATTATTTGTCTCTCCATCCTCCCTCTCTTCAGTTCCTAGTTAACATACTTTCCCTCCATTTTTCCCATTTCTCACTCATATGGCAGTATGCTAGTTTGTAAATTTACTTAAAACTACATATTTGAAATATGTGTGTGTATTATAACATGTACATGTGTGTTATAAAATTTTTCCTGATGATGGTATTGTTTGGGAGGTTATGGAAACTTTAGGGTTATATTCTTGCTAGATTAGGCATATCACTGTGGGCAGGATTTCAGAGTTACAAGCCATTCCCCAATTCCAGTTCTCTCTCTGTTTCATGTTTTCAGTTGAAGATTCAGCCTTTCAATACCTGCTCCTGACACCAGGCCTGCTGCTTGCTGCCAAGCATGTCCAGCATGATGGAATCATCACCCTCTGAAACTATAAGCCCAAAAAGCTCTTCTTTCTAGAAATGTCATTCTTCGTGATATTTTATCAGAGCAACAGGAAGGCAACTGCTGCATCATTCTTCTCTGTCAACCTCAAGTGTTCAGCTTATTTGTAGGCAAGGGATAATTAGTCTCAACATCACTTCATATCCATTCTGAAATCTTCCTCCTATGAGCAACGTTCTTTGAAGACATGAATGATTTACAGTCTTTCAGACTGACCTGAATTGTCCCTCATCACTTGAATGAGATTTATCTGAGATGGTCTGTTTTGAACCAACATTGTTGAGGTAGGGTTAATGATAGACGTTAAGGAATTACTGTCCATAAAACCATTGTGACCAATTTTAAACAATTTGGAATCATAGGTGTGAATTTTATGTAAGGTATACAGGAATTAATTTTGTTTTTCCTGTGGTTGATGTCCTAGAATCTTAAAAATATTGTTTATTTTTTTGTTATGAATTGTAATTTTTCAGATTGCTCATAGATAAATATTTATGTCAAAAAACATAATCAGCAAAAGCAAATATTTAAACCAAGGTAGTTTGAATATTATTTGCAGATATAGTCTTTAGATTACAAATATTTAATACCATTTAAATATTAGGTTACATTGCTTGAAGTGCAAAGTTAGTGTATGTATAATTATTTTTATGTAAAGATAACAACGATTATATGATTAGGAAAACACAAAAAGCCTGAAAAAGTTAGTATGAGTAACAATTTTAGTTTAGGGGGATTGAGAGAAATTAAGCAATTAAATCTTAACAGAATCAGTATTTTTCAGACCTTTACCAGGGTCTCTCTCTCTCTCTCTCTCTCTCTCTCTCTCTTCTCTCTCCCCCCCATCTTCCTGTCCTGTGTTCAAATAAATGATGTTTTGTTTTGAATTCCAAAATAAAATCATCCTTTACTCCATATAGGAAGCAATTAAATCTTATGAGTAGAGACAAGTATACTTTTCTGTAAATAAGGGTCATTCAGCTTACAGTAAAAATCTGCATTTGTCTAGGGATGTGACGTGACAGATGTAAGGTTTACTCAAGGGTCTATGACCTCTCCAGCCATGTATATTGGCTTTGTTTTCAGTACCACAAACAAGTTCCCTCCCACTAAGAAGGCTTTAATCCAATTAGATAGCTGTTGATTATTTTCACAATAAAATTGCTTTCACTGTACAAATACAGCTAGATGGTTGTGCAAGTCATTATTGTGGATATTAGGCTTTAAAGCTAAAACTGGGCTACTGATTGATTTTTCTCCAATAACAACTTGCATAATGTCCTCCCAATCTATGAGAGCTAGCACTTGGGAGGCAGAGACAGGCAAAATGTGAGATCCAGGTAAGCCTCGTGTACATAGCAAACTCCAGGCCAAATAGGGCAACAGAGAGACTTTGTCTCCAAAAAATAAAAGGTAATTGGAAATTTAGAATAGTAATAAATATAAAAATATCATAGCAAATTAGTAAAAATATTTACAGATGAATTAAAATAACATGAATTGAAACAGTATAATGGCCAATGACTTTGTTCTAATAAATAATTCTCACATTACTCATCTTTCCTAAATGTTCTTCTTTCTAGAGTTTTCTTCAGGGCAACAGTTACATCTTTATTCCTCAGGCTATAGATTAGGGGATTCAGCATGGGTACAATAATGGTATAAAATACAGATGACACTTTCCCTTGGTCCATGGAGTTGACAGATGATGGCTGAAGATACATGAAGGCTAAAGATCCAAAGAAGACAGCAACAGCCAAAATGTGGGAGCTGCAGGTACTAAAGGCTTTGGACCTGCCCTCAGTTGAGTGAATGTGGAGGATGCTGGCAATGATAAAGATGTAGGAAGTAATGATGGTCAGGATTGGGACAAAGATGTTCAGTGTACTGAAAAAGAGAATCAATAATTCATTAATATAGGTGCTAGAGCAGGCAAGCTTAAGCAGGGGAAGGAGATCACAGAAATAGTGATTGATCACATCCAGGTTGCAGAATTGAACTCTAATCATGAAGCCAGTATGGGCTGATGCACCAACCAGACCAATAATATATACACCTGAAATCAGGGAAATGCAAATCTGATAGGACATAATGACATTGTAAAGCAAGGGATTACAGATGGCAACATAGCGATCATAGGCCATTGCAGCCAACATGTAACACTCTGCAATAGCAAAAAGAGAGAAGAAGTAGAGCTGAGCCATGCATCCAGAATAGGAGATGTTATTCTTCTCAGTCACAAAGTTCACCAGCATTTTTGGAGTCACAACAGTGGACTGGCAGAGATCAATGAAAGATAGACCGCTGAGGAAATAGTACATGGGGGTGTGCAGATGAGAACTGAGCCCAATCAGTGCGACCATGCCCAGATTCCCCCCCACTGTGAGTGCATATATTCCCAGGAATAGGAAGAAGAGAGGCAGCTGTAGCTGTGGCTGCACTGAGAGTCCATCCAGGAAGAACTCAGTCACCGTGCAGTAGTTTCCGGCTGCCATGCCCTCTGCTCAGATTCTGAAAGGGTGAAAGTACATAGCTTTTAAGAGTGCTTTAATTATCCTTTACCATTCACAAAAACATCCTCCATATATATGATTTCTGTCCTAAAATCCCTTTGTCCTCTATATAATTTCTTGGATTCCATTATTTTATATAAATAAATTTTATCTTAATTTTAATCAATCATTTATTTTTTAAATTATGAATGCATTACATATAAAATTATGTCATTGAATTCATGGCTTGAACCATATTGTCACTTCAAAGCAGTGTTTCTAAGTTGAATTTTAAAAAGCTAAACATTTAGTGTTTATGCCAATTAACAGAAATGACTGACAGTCAAGAAACACAAACTTTCTGTAAACACAATCATCTATCCAAATCCTAGTATTTCTCAGGGA